TCTATGAACTCAATCACCGAAACAAGTGGCCATAGAATACAAAAAAAAAGAATGTACACCATTATGTTCATATTGCTCATATATATTACTTCTATTCTCTACGGGTTTTTTTTATCGATTGCTTTTAAGATTGAACATAACCTTCAAGAGTCACTCTAAAACGTGATTGCGTCAGTTTAGCCATTTTTTAAATTGAACAAGCATATGATTACTACTTTCATTGTCTTGAATTTAATTTCAAAGCATATATGTCGAAAAACTATTTTAATACAAGGTTAAAAAAGCTAAGTTACAAACAAAAAAAGTGTTTTTTTAATCTTCATTTTTTTTATTGAAGAATTTTTGTATTGCTGTAATAATATCATATCCAGTGACATTTTTAATATATTTTTTTAAATCTTCGATAATTTTATTAATCAATTGACGAAAACTACCAAAATATTTGTAATCACCTTCGTAGTCATTTGTATTTTCATCTATAATAACGGTTATTGGTTTCATTGATGACGTACGTTGTGTCTAAATAGAGAAAAATATATTTTGAAATGATTATTTCTTTTTTCGAAATATTTACCAGCCATGGTTGTCGTGTTGGAACGGTTTTACGAGTTCTTCTTGAAAATGAATCAGCCCAAGGAAGAGTTGTTGTTGTAGTAGTAGTAGTTGTTGAATCTAGGTCATCGTCATCAAGAGAATTTTCATATTCTGCATTATAATCTGGTAGAATAATTTGTCGACCTGATGTAGATGGCTGTTATTAAAAATTAACAAAAAAAAATATATATTGTGAACATTAGAATAATGTTTTATATACCGTTGGTATTGATTGTATTGCACAAATGAAAGCAATAACAATAAAGACAGTTAACAACTTCATCGTATTTTATAAGCTATCAATTGAGAAGAGTTTCTTTTTCTTTTGCGTATTTATATGGATGTGTCCTGGATTATACATATATGTATTATCTATTTTCTTGTATTATCAAGATATCAACAAGAACGAGTGACACATGACGTTTATTATTCATAAGAATTTAGTAAGTATCTCTTATTTGCGTAGTTAATAAAAACTGATTATTCATTACTTGTGTCGTCTATTTTTAGAGACTTATTCATATTATTTATTATTAAGATAAAGATATATGTATATTTATTTGTTATTTTTTACTTCTTTTAATTGAGATTATGCTGTTGTATTACCATCATAGGATGAATATGATGACCTCGTCTAAATGCACGATAGAATAATTCACGTAATTGACGTGTCAAAAACACTGTTAGTATAGGTAAAATTGATAATGAAATAGCAAAGGCAAGCCATTGTAATTGATAAATCAATGGATATAAATAGCCAGTAATAATGTACCATAAATATAATGATGTTGCAGGAAGACCCATCATACAAAGCATACTAACTAGTATAACAATTTGACGAAGAACAGTTAGATCTCGTTGATTTGATTGTTGACGATTAGGATAAATTGCTAGATTTCCCATTCGTTTTATACAATATACAATATAGAAGTATATAAATCCAATAGCATTCATTGGAAAAATATATGCAATTACACCGGTGTACATTGATACACGAATATCAGTGTATACTAATTGGCAATAATAATAATTCGGTGTATATTCAAAATAGTGAAGAAACAAAGCAGGTATGTATACAATAAAATCAATTAACCATTGAATTAATACAAGTCTAATCATGAATCGATGATTTTGTAAATATTTATATTTATAAAAAACTATACGAAATAAACGAAAGCATGCTTGTATTACATATGAATGATAAAGTGAGCTGTATACAACGCTAACAAGGTATCCACGTGCATGACACCACCAATTGTTAAAAGAATTACTTTCAAATAAATCACCATACAAGTTATAAATATATGTATCTATTCCAAATAGACAACAGAGTATGATAGCTGCATAATTATTACAAGTGAGATAAGTTGATGTAGTGATATGGAATTGATGTCGATAATAGAAGAGTAAAAAAATAATTCCAATCGAAGTTATAATTCCAATGAATACAAAAATGAGAACAAATATATCGATAATGATATTTATAGTGTTGCTCATTATGCTCTATCTAATACTTTTATGTTGTGAGAATAATAATAATGGAATTTAAGATTCTTTCTAAAAAAAAGAACGTCAGATTCCAGAATAGTATTCTGCTCCTGACAACCTAATTTTGATTATGTAGGTGTCATAGAAAAATTCAAGAACTTTTCTTTTTTTCTTAGTTTTAATATTTCTTGATCTTTGATCTTATTATAGCATTGATAGGATGTGCTTCTGTCTACCAAATAACAGATCTTCTATACAAGATTATTTAGAAATATATTTTATTTTGCTATGAAAAATGCAAGAAAATTTTTACATAATAAAAAAGAAAATAATGATCGTTAGCATCATTACATTTGTTGATGTGTTATTTATTGAGAAAAATAGTTTAAATTAAATAAAAGTTTAATATTTACTTTAATGTTACAATATTTTTTATACTATAAAAAGTATCGGTATAAGTAAGCACAAGAGTCATTTTGTCATAAACTAACATGTAGCTCATAATAAACGGCCCACTTTCAAACCAATCCACATATATACTCCATATCTATTTTTTCCACTTATGTTTGTGCCATATGTTTGGACTCTTCACAAGTTATGCAATTACAGAATATCAACTCGATAAGTGCTTCTGAGATTAATTTTAAAAATTGAAATCCAAAGATCATCGAGACTTGATACTACGAATGACTGATAAGGTGGATATCATCGCTTCAAATTGCCAAATAACAAGGCACGCTCATATTTCGATTCTCCAACCCTTTTCTGAAAGAAACAACGCTAGTTTGGTTGGTAAACTGTTTATTAAAATCGAATAATGTTCCTGAACGACTACCAGGACATCTAATAATCAGAAGAGAACATTGCAAGATTTTCAGAGAATCTCTTCAAAATGTGTCACGTTAAAGTTTATATAATAAAAAGTTTGATAGAAGAATACATAGTACGACAAACATAATTAACAGTTACAGGTGTATAGGTAGAATAAGAAATGTTATGTCCTTTCCAGGGAGAATTATATCGATCGTATTTTTTCCGATCCTACAAATCGTTATTTACACACTAATTTATCTCAGTCTACCCTATAATACCCTTTAGAAGCCGAAATGAATGAAAATGTCTTCATACTAGTACCATTTGATCTGATTAGGAATATGAGTAAGAGCAAATGTGTTTATTTTCATTTATTAACTATTCTACCTTAAATGCTCTGTTTTGAGAAAAATATACCTGTCTATCTCTACATTAAGGGTCTATTTTTTAGCTCACCAGCACATATATTCGAATCTTGTTTATATATTTAAAACTATAAATTCAGAACAAGATTCAGTATATAAAACAAGTCACGCTCGCTGAGAGAAGCCGTTTGATGTTCAACAGATTTGAGACGATTGTCATTGCAGATAGCGCTTATCTGATTGTGATTTCAACATTGACACCACCTACAGTTTCACAAAAGCAAAAAAGATTGTATTATCATTTCAGTTCTTCTCGATAAAGATTCGATCCATTAGATCTCCACTGAAGTTTTTACGTGCTATAATCAATTTGCAGTCGGTTGTCGGCGTTCCACCGAAAAGCTTTAGTCAGACTTCGATGGTTTTTTATTGATATATGTTATTTTGACCCTTTGCTTTTTTTGACCCTGGTACAAACGCACCCACACGCTCCCTATAATCGAGGAGATGTCTATCTTTCCTTTAGTCGAATGAACATGTTTCATTACACTACTTGCCTCGAATCATCTTATCATTTTTTCTAATAATAGTGAACGAAAGTCTTGCTCATATCTGATTGATTGGGACCGACAAACATAGCAAAATTTTCCAAATGTAAAAAGATCCTTTCTTTGAGAAAAACGACTAAGGGGTTTTCGAATTCGTTCGATTTTTAGATATTAATATGCAGAATTGACTAGAGTAGCCACCTGATGAAGCTCTTAATCGACTCGAAACGTGTTGTGGTAGCTGAAAACTTAAAAACTCACCCACTCTCACCTCATTCTCTTATCAATTAACTCGTTGTTAATTTTTCGTTTATTATTTAATTTACTTCTCTTTCTTTGTTTCTTGCTCTTCGTGTTTGTCCTTTGCTTATTCTTTTTCATTATATCATCTTTCACATGCATTTCTTATTACGTATATGAATGCGTCTCATTATTTATCCTCCTTTAACTTTGAAAAAAATGTTGAATATTTGTGAAGAGAAAGCAGAGATTGTTTTATTTTCAGCTAATATGAAATAAGCAAAAAGCTACATGTACAGCATATTTTGGTTAAAATATTGAATATTTGTGAAAAGCAATTAAAGATTGTTTTTTTTAGTTAATATAAAATAAGCAAAAGTTATATGTACAGCATATTTGTTGCGGATGAAATCTTCTCGCAAAGGATGCATAAAATCCACGTTTTTCATCGAGGAGGATCATTGGCGGATAAATATGATTGACTCGAGACCTCAGTTGCGCAACAAGTACATGTGCTCAATAGAATACCAACATTTCCTCCAAAAATACTGCTAATAGCAAGATCCACTCGGCCGTCGCCGTTAAAATCATTGACGATAACATAATCCGCAGAAGCAAGCCCGGTTGGAAATATCATTTGTTGTCCAAAACTGCCATTACCATATCCAACCATTACAGTTACAAATGTGAGTGGAGAAGAAAGAAGTGTAGAGCTTTCTTCTCCACAGACTCCAGCGACGTCCATTTTACCGTCACCGTTAAAATCACCGACAGCAATCTGGGTTATTATATTAGTGTGTTCGATCATAGTTGTTATTTGTGTTCGAAAACTTCCATCAGCCTTCCCGAGAAGCACACCAATATTGTAATTACCTTGGTTTGCGACGATTATATCTAGATAACCGTCACCGTTGAAATCACTTACATCCATTGAATATGAAAAACTATAAATTCCTGTGGAGAATGTCATCGGTGTTTTAAAGCTTCCATTACCAGACCCAAGTAGAATCGCTACATAGAAGTCAATATCTATGCTTACAGCGATGTCTTGATGATCATCGTTGTTGAAATCTGCAATAGCAATGGATAGCACACACCCATCATTTCCAATCGGGAGTATCGTTTCGGCCGCAAACGTTCCGTTCCCATATCCGAGTAATATAGCCATCGAACATGGGGTACTACTCTTCGTGAAAACGATATCTATGTGACCATCGCCATTTAAATCACCTGCAATACTGCAAGGCGAGTTTACATCGGAAAGTACTACTGGCAATATTATCATTACTCCAAACGTTCCATTACTATTTCCAAATAAAATACCTACACTGTACGTGTCAGTAACTACACCGTCTGCGCCAACAATCATAACAACAATATCTTGGTGATCATCGTTGTTAAAATCAGCGACAGCGAGCCTTTGCGGAATACCACCATTTACCACTGGATACGTCATTTCTTGCCCAGAAGTCCAATTACCATTTCCAAGGAATACATTCACAGATGAGTCAGTTCCCCAAACACTGAGAGCAATATCTGATAAACCGTCGCCGTTGAAATCGCTAGCAACGAAGTGGGATACCGCGCCATCACTAGTTGCATATAGATGGGCTGGTCCAAACGTCAATTGACATGTTGATACTAACAAAAGAAAGCAGATTGGTTGCTTCTAATATCTGACTTGAAAGCATTTGAGAACAAATATATACATGGCTTATACTGACTTCTTCGCCTAACGTACTTCTATATATGTGAAGCCATTGATTTTAACCCAACTCATTCAATCAACTATCTCGGAGTTGATTCATTTTAGTGTATGTGAAAGGTATGGTAGTTTGACTATTGTTGTTAAAACTGGTTGAAAAGTTTCAAAACCTCGGTTTAATATTTGAAATTCTTTTTACTTGAATTTTCAATTAGCAAATATAGTAAGAGAGGCTATAGTTAGCACTATATATCAAGGATTTGATAGAACAAATATGATTACCTCATTTGATGAACGTAATAGACACCCTCTATCATAAAAAAATATAAGTCAAACGATCAAATCTTTCATTTTTTAAAGTTACAACCTATGGCGGAGACATATCTAGGTAAGAGTGAATTCATGGGAAGCGTACCACTATATACGCGACCATCTCAGAATCGGTTGGAACTTTCAGAGTTTACGAAGCTCAGTGTGCTGTTAATTTTGATATCAAATTACCATAGGTTTGTATGTAGTTTAGGTTAAAATCAGTCAAAATATGATTCTGCAAATATAGCATAAAATATACTAAAACAGAAAAATGCTGATTATTACAAGAACATTTTCGCCCTGGTTTCAGAATCAAAAACAATAATCTATACCTATTCTGATAGCACGTGTTCGACTCTATCGAACCATATACAAATTAAATAGGTCTGCTTTAGATAGTGTGGGTGTGGGTGCATAATAATTTTACATATACCTATCCACACTCGCAACTAGGCTCATAATAATGAGCATTTCTAGTTTTAGCATATTTGATGCTATATCTGCAGAATAATATTTTGACTGATTTTAACCTAAACTACATACAAACCTATGATAATTTGATACCAAAATGAGCAGCTCACTGAGAGCTCTATGAGCTCTGAAAGTTTTAGCCGATTCTAAGATGGTCATGTATATAGTAGCAGATTTCCTTTAAATTCAGTCAGACTAAATTCATCTGAGACAGTGTCATGAAAACTTCATTTATTCTATCTTTCATTCATTGAAAAGATTTTGGGAGAAAACAATGATATAGTTTTTGATCCACAGACCTGTCGACGTAGATGTTGCCGTTGTTGTACTAGTTTTCATGCTCGTGCCAATCTTGGTTGTTATGCTCATATGTGCAAAATTTGTTGTGTTCATTGAAGGAACTAATAAAAAAATGTTCGAAAAAAAGTTCATATAGACATATATACGATCAGAAAACAGTGCTCAGCCGAGGGTGTGAGTGTCGGTGCCGGTGTCGGTATGGGTGTGAATGTAAGTGTGGTTGCGAGTATATTAAATGCATCATCCACACCCACCCTCACATACCCTCTGAAGGATCGAGAGTACTATCACTTATATGCTTTGGGATTTTTAAAAATACATCAGAAAAAGCTAATATTTTGGATTTAGTATATTCAAATGATGCTCTATCGTTTGCGATAGTTATAAACTAAAAATCAAAAAAAGATTTCTGCAGCTAGCTCTACGTATATGGAGTAAGTGGATCTCCTGGTAGACCCTCTCTTAAGTTACTTTCATCATCAATAGCGCTGTTTGAGAAAACGATTTTACCTGTTGATATAGCTTGGTTGTTTCTGTATCGAATAAAATAAAAACAAGAAATAATGATGATCACTGCAAAATATAAGAGTAATATAAAGCAAAAGGCAATCTTGGGATAACGAAGTAGCGACGAAAGGCAACGAATTCTAAAGAAGAGTGTTGAAGATGATGATAGATATTAAAAGACAAAAGGGTATACTTAGTTGTTGCAGCCGTGGATGCTAGTTCAACATTAATAGTGTCATGGTGCACGTTTGTGATGTTAGATATTGTGTTAATAGTCTCAGTGGTCACCGTATCGACAGGGTATACAGGTTGAATAATGTTTCTCTGCTTATTCCGATACTTATTAATTCTCATCACAATACGAACTATCCAAGGACAGATCCATTTAAGAACAATTGAGAGTCCACCATAGATGCTGACTAAAAACGTTATTGTGTAGACTGAGTTGATCTGTTGGACGTAAGTATATGAACATATTGAAGGTGAACATTGTTCAAAGTACGATAAAAAGTTGATCGTTGCAGATTGACCTTCGATAAAAAGAACATTGGCAATATCTCTCACAGTTGTATTAATTGAGAATTGACTATTATTTTGAACGAGAGAAATAGGAGTCTTTGTGGTATTAGTTCTACTATCATAGTTTGTCTGTTCTTGTATAAGATTTATGCACAAAGAATCATAAAAACACTCGAGAGTCGAAAGAAGAAATGATTCACTTGGTGTACAGCCTATTTTGAAGCCTTTAACTGAGACGATTTCAGATGAATTGTTATTTATGAACCTTGCTTGAGTTGTGCAGTTCGCATATAACGCACATGAGCATTCATTATCATAAGTGATGGCGTAGTAAAACGCCAAGATACTAGTTCCAACATTAGGTGCTATGAGCTCAAAATTGGTTTGATACGTTGATATAATCGAATTTCCATGATTTATAGAGAGAATTAGGGAAAGAAGACCAGCAATTGTAGCGGGAGTATTGAGATTATTCTGTTTGATGAGAGAATCTATCTGTTGACGAAGAATTGTTTCTTGTATAAGTCGAGTACTAACCAATGTAGAAGAAAGCAATTGATTGACAGAATTGTTTATTGCTTCAATGGAAAGTTGGCATAACCCATTAAGAAACTGCAAATGGGCTGGAAGGAAACGACGATAGTCCCTTGTATTATAGACAGACAGGTCAGGAGCAAGACCAGCTATGAGATTCTCGCGCCATTCATTCGAAGCAAATGTACTCGAACAGATCTGTGGAAAATTCAAAACAAAAAGAAAACTTATTTGAGTAATTTATTCAAAAAGTTTGAAGAGAAAATTCAATTATAATCGAATAATTCTTGATAGAAAATTGATTAAAATATCACGAATCAATTTTAATTTAAGCTATTCTACAAACTTTGAGTCACTCACTGCTGTAACGATAATCTAGTCGTAGATCTTAGTCGATCATCATCAATGGCGATACCTCAATTTGATGTCAAATATTTGTTTTACTTGCAGTCTGTGCTACTAATTGTCGTACTTTAATCGATTCTAATCGCTAATTTTAATTAACATCTCATATCATGGCAAGTTTCAAATCGGTACTAATTCTAAAATCTGCATGTCAAAATTATTGAAAATTTCGAACAAGTTAAATTAGTATAATATATTTAACTGTTTCTTCTGATTCTGTCATTTCAAAAACCGCTAAGAAATCAGAAATCAGAGATATAGTGAAAACTGGTCAAAACTTGGAATTTGTCATGCCTTCGTCAAAACGTTCGTGTGTAAAGAAGTTTAGGGAGAGGTTGATAGAAAATGAATATGTCACAGAATGTATTAAAATATTTGATAATTTTTTGACTTTTTTCTCGTTAAACTAACATGAAATGATGGGTTAGTCGATTAATCATATAGATTATTGTGATGTCTTGTTTCAGAAAATAGCTTTAGATAATTATTTACAATATGTTGATTACAAACGGTTAGAATTAGAAATCGAGTTCCTAGTTTCTGATTAAGAAGTCAATTTTAACTGATTCCAATGAGAATTGATTATATAAATAATCGATAGAAGTCATGATTTGTATTCAATTCCATAAAAAACTGATTAAAAATGGACATTTATCTGACTTTTTCTGACTAATTGTTTCATAGATTTAGCTTTGGGATAACGATATCACAATAAATATGTATTTTATAGCTCATCCCATCGATATAGTTTCGTCTTTGATATTAAATAAGTTTAAATAATCTTCTTGCCTTACCTGATGAAACGTAACGTTAATCTGCACATATTGATCATATGTTGATGAAATTACTGAACAAGTGCATTCAAGTGTAGTGCCGTGATCGCGTGCAAGACGATTATAGACATCGAAGGATGGTTTATCAAATGTCTTCGTTAGAATTTCAGATTGAATAATAGTATAGAAGACAATAATAACAAAACTAATAATGAGCAAGACAATGTAAAGACGAGTGGTTATTCGACCAAGTCGTGTTGCTGTTATTCGATCAGTTTTACTTCCGAAAGCCCATAAAGGAAATATATTTAGACTGATCAATTTGGCAGACACAAATGTAAAGAGTTTCGACAATGCCATTCTCAGCCGATCAATCAACTTCGGACGAACTATGTACAGAAAAAAAATCAATGTTATACTAATTTTTTACGTAAAAACACCTTCGATTGTTGAGCTACGTAAGTTTGAGAGACTGATCAGAAAAGCCTTACAATTCTGTTACAGTAATGTTGTACTAATACACATTCTCTATTTCGATATCATTTCTATATGTAGTCATTATTATCTTTCATTCCTGTCTTGATTGATATGAGAACGGTGGGTGTGAGTGTGGATGCGGGTGGGTGTAGATGCATATGAGAAAACAAGTGAATACCCACCCTCAGTTATCAACAAAGTCTGTTCCAAATATGCAGATTTCGAAAAATGTATTCTATACACACTTTGCAGGAGAAAAGAGTCTATTCTTGGAATCTTTGAATCCGAAATAGACTTTGTCGAAAAATTCTGAATCTTTCTTGCAAGTTAGTCTAGGTGGGATCTCTTGTTTAAGCAAAGTTTCACTTCAATTTTCGAAAATATAGATGTAATGGAAAAGTGTGGTATCTTTCAGATGTATACGAAGAACTTCTCATAATCGATTGAAAATGTTATTAACCAGAATCTTCTAAACATAGTTTTTATAACCATACAATTATCTTGATTTTCATTTCATCTGTCAATATTCACATCTTACGTATCTCTCAGACTTATAGAATATATCAATATATGATTTTGGTAAAGGCATCTTATCAACAATTACCTTGATGTTGTCTTCTAGCCATTAGTACGAGCAAGAAATAAATGAAGTTGACAAGTTGAGGGGTGATCAGTTTTAGTGCCATCGTAAGGCCACCGATCATAGATATCATTGTAATTATTATTCCAACGAAATTATTTTTGGGTGCTGTCACAGAATAAGTACAATAGGCTGGTGCACATGCTTTCCAGTAAAGATCGTATGAAAATGCAAAGTTCCACTGATCGACCATGAGCTCTTTAGCTATCGTTGATATTGTAGTATTTGGCGGAAAACGGCTTAATGTTCCATCAAAAATTAATGGCGGAACATTGAACTCCGATATGCTAATAGAAAAAACAAATGTATACATGTGAAGTTGGATGAATATTTAATAAATTTCATGTCGGATTTATTCAGAAGTTTTCAGTTAAGCTCGACAAGCTCTATCGATTAATACGTGGTTAATTTTTTTGATACCTCAAGAACTGTTTGAACACAAGCCAATATACAGGCTTTTTGTAACAAGCTTTATCGTATATTGTTGTTGAATTCGTTTGGAGTTTTATTTCATAGTTTATATTTTAATTTCAAATCAATATTGACTTTTTAGATATGGTAATATAGCGGCTTTTATATAATAAATTTCGGAGATCGCACAGATCGTTCTTCATTACAATCGCCTAGTTGACAATTACTATTTCCTTTTGATTTGTTCAATTACATTTAATCCTTTTAAATGTGATGAAACTCTTTCGATTGAAATCATGTAGATATACTATAGTGGCATGTTCCAAAATAGTTTTTGAAGGACGAGAAAAATAATAGGCTGGTAGATACAATACACCAGGGTCCGGTTAGCGAGAAAAATGTATCTTTGAAGCAAATAATCAAACGAATCTAATATATATATATAGAACTAACATTTCAAAAATCTGATGGAAAAATAATGTGCGTAGGCATGCACCAATTCCAATTCGGTTCGGTTCCAATTCTAGAATTGGTCGGAATTGATTAGAATTGGAATTGGAATTGGTTGGAATTGGTTAGGATTGGAATTGGAATTGGTCAGAATTGGTTGGAATTGGAATTGGAATTGGTCGGAATTGGTCAAGAATTGGTTGGAATTGGAATTGGTTAGAATTGATTGAAATTGATATGGAATTGGCTCAAAATGACTAGAAATCGTAGGAAATTTCATGTCATTCGCTAAAACTGATCGGAGCTAAGACTAGATTAGTACGGATCACTATAAATTACTGTCTATTCCAAGTCAATTATAGAAAAATTCTCATAATACTGGCTGAATCAGATCCATTTACAGTAATTTACGTGATCCGTAATAATCTAGTCTTAACTCCGATCAGTTTTAGCGAATGACATGAAATTTCCTACGATTTCTAGTCATTTCGAGTCAATTTCATATCAATTTCAACCAATTCTAACCAATTCCAATTCCAACCAATTCTTGACCAATTCCGACCAATTCCAGTTCCAATTCCAACCAATTCCGACCAATTCCAATTCCAATCCTAACCAATTCCAACCAATTCCAATTCCAATTCTACCAATTCCAACCAATTCCAATTCTAGAATTGGTATTGGAATTGGTTGGAATTGGAATTGGTGCATGCCTACATAATGTGCGTAAGGATTTTCTAGAAAGATATTTGAAATGCAACTAAATTGACCATAAGAGTCGATATAATGTGTCGATATCTATTAGGAGCACGAAACATATTCTGAAATAAATTCAACAGGAATTGATCTAATCTCGACCTAACTTCATCTACTTACAATTCTGAATTATAACTTGTGTAGTAGAGTACCATTGACAAACAGTCGGAGTCTGAATACAAGCACTCGAGTGTCGAAGACAGAAGAGAATCGATGTTAAAACAACCCAAAACCGAACCTGGTACTGCATAGACAGGAACGAAATAGACATCGTCGTATGTCATATGGCATTCATATAATTGTGCTGGTTGTCGACAATTAAGATCAGTAGCACAAGTACAGTAGATATCTGGATTAACCGATGAATCCCCATAAAGAAAATATGAAGTGATATTTTGTAAACCAGGTAAAAGAAAGTCACCCTGAAAACAAAAGAAAAACTTGTGTATCACTATTAGCTAATCGTAAAACATCATTTCTCCATTCAAAAATGAAAAGTTCCTCGCAAAATATTCTGTTCTATTATTGGACCTTTAAAAGGAGACTATCGGATAAAATTCTTGTAAGTTTTTAATATTGTCGTTTTTTTCTAGTCTTCTTTCATTTTCTTATATTGAAATCATGTCTGATAGTTTGTCACCTATTCTTCTTCTTTCTTTATTCTCCTTTGAACTGTTTTTCTACATTATTTGTTCTACTTTGGATGTTTGTCATTTTTTTCCTTTGATATCAACAAGAACTTTAAAAATTTGTTGAAGTCTCACAAATATATTCGATGATATATCATTTTGGATGAAGGAAATTTAGTTGTCATAATATCTTTAGTAGCATTCGAGCGAAGCATTTTTTTCTTTGCCTGAGAGACATACCCGCAGCGATACATGGCCGTTTGTTTCATTTATCATGGTTCGAATTATAATAATTGCATTCCTAGTGTTGAATGCAGATACGTATCTAATTCCCGCATAAGGTTGATCAACTTGAGTGATAAGAAGTACAAGATCGATAAGATGGTAAAAATCGACGACTGCCGATTGATAGAATTGAGTGAACATTGCATTTAATTGACCATTGAAATCAACTTCACTGAGTAGATTTGAAGTGACAAAAGATTGCATGATGAAGCGTTGGATCGCATCACCGATCCGAGTGTTAGACAGTTGACAGAGGTTCGACAATATCTGAAAATTTCCGATCGCTTGGTAACGCCAGTCTGAGGTTGGAAAATTTTGATATGTTATGAAAAATAGTGAGATCACATCATCTCTGATAAAACCACTCGAGCACACTTGATGAAATGTTGGAGTCAACGAAATAAAGGTGTAATGCGGTATAACCATATTCGAGCAAGGACATTTAAGTGTGTTCGAATATAATGCTTGCAAATGGTTATAGGTAGTGAAAGATGGATTTGATATGTTTATTATAACAGTTTGAGTATCAAATGAATTGAATATAAGAACTATGACAAAGATGCCTAATGAAACAACAATGGAAATAAATATATTTACACAACTGAAAGGTGATTGATATCTGTCAAAAAAAATTCATTAGCAGAACAACGGTCCAAGAAACTACGAAAAGCTACAATTTCATGAGTACATAGAAACATGTCCATTCAGTGATCTATCGAAATCAAATCAATCAATTGTCGAATTTGTATTTTGGAATTCACTTTCTCGCTGAACTCATCCTCGAGATATTCTATTAATTAATTAAATCAGACGAGTAACAAGTCAGTAGAGTGAAGAGAGCGGAAGATATGCCCATTCTTCGATCTTTCGACATAAAGGTTCTACAAGTGTGACCTTCTCCTGCGCAAGATAGTAAATTGAAACGTTTCGATGACGCTAACAGAAGGACATAGTGAGAGTGCGCTTGTTTTGCTTTTTGAAATGGTATAAATAAATAGGTTGCTGATAGCTCTGAAACATCAGTTCCATAAGAAAGAACTGAGTAAATTACCGGACGAGCGTTACTTCTCGCTAAATGATCAATTGGTGATCATTCTTATGTTTATTTGATGTATTCAATTTTATGTCATTTGACGTATCTTCAATCGACTGCTGAATTATGACGATTGCATGTTATTTACTTCTCAATGTTTTGTAATCATCCGATTAATATCTCGATATGCTTATCTCTAACGTGAGAATGGACAAAAACTTTTATAGTAAAAATAAGCATACCCGCAAGCAAGATTAGATAGATGCGTGTCGTTATCCGTTGTTTTTTCAGAGTGTTTTCTGTTCGATCATTGACCGACCTGAATAAATTCAACTGTTTTAACCATACACCGAATTTACGAGCACGTTCCACAAAATATGCTACAGTGAAAAAATATATATCGAATTTTCATCAAGAATCTCTTTTTCTTTTAATAAGAATTTACCGAAGTCAGCATTGATGTTTGGTAAACGAAATTTTGTTTTTGCTGCGATATTGACTACTGAAGCTGCGATAAAACGAAGCATAATCACAAGACCACCATATAAGCTAAGTAAGAGTGTAATTGTATATGAAAAATTGATTTGATCTGTTATGGCGTATGTGCAAAATAAGGGAGCACAATCTTCTACATATTTTGAATAGTTGATCTTTGTTGACCATTCATCTACAAAGAGGTAAGATAAGCGATTCTCGACAGAAACATTTTTTGGACTTGAAGATAGAATAGAACTTGTTAAATTCATCTAAACAGAAACAATTTGTAGAATAAATAAGATTTTGAAATACATACATTATTCAGAGATGGAAAATAGTCGGAAAATAGTACGAGACAATCAGCATCATATAAACAGTCGAGTGTACTTTTGAAAAGAGCATCAAGTTGATAACATGCTTTCCAGAATCCACTAACTCCTGTGAAATTGTTATTGTAATTATAATCAACGGCATAATCCAGGTGTACAAGATTCACATTGGAGAAAACAGCTGGAAGGATGTAGGTGTCTATATCAGAGGAACTGCTGAAAATACATATGTCGATTGTCGAATCACCTATTGTATATCCATCGGAATCCTGATAAGCAAATCCCGAGTAATCTGTGCTGCTAGCAGAAACAAATTGATTGGATCGAGTTATTATTTGAAGAAACTGTAGGAATGAGTTGGCTTGACCATATAGATTGCTCTTAACACTTTCAATGGTAGCGTTCACCTGAGATTGAATTTGATCTTCTGAAGAGAATTGAATTGTGATCAGCTGATTAGTACCAATTTCATCTATGCCTTGCGAAACTGTATCATTGGAAAACGAACAAAGAAGAGACAGCAATTCGAACTACATAAAAATGAAAAGAATCACATAGCAGTGAATAAATCATACATTATGATCACTTCTTGACACTCTTTGACAGTGTTGCCACCTTTTGAAGTGCAAAAAGCAGAAAAAAAAACTATGAAAAGCAGAAAATGACAGAAATTTCACCATAAAAAAGCAGAAGAAAAGGCAGAAATCATGTTTCTTACGTAAACAGACTTTAACACTTATTTTAAGCGCTAACTCAAAAGCGAATCAGCACCGGAGAGTGGTCCCTTGTTAGATTTAACGTAATAATCTAAAATTACAGATTTAGTTTGAATCTTTATTAACCCTTTAATTTTAAAATTTCACCTCATAGATGACATAAAGAACGCGAAAAGTATTATCCTCGTTCTGTCGTTTTGGAAAACGAATACCGTTTAGTGTTTAACCTAGTTATCACACGTGGTAGTTCTAATAGCAGCAGCCTTTTCTCGAGTCTTATGTTTTATAAATCACATTAGTTCAGATACAACTGATTGTATGCAATAGAGACTTTCGTGTTTTTCGTTTTTATGCACAACGCAAGAAACTGTTAGGACTGTAAGGGTTAAAGGGAAACAAGAAAAACAGGAGACCGCTAAAAAACAGAAGCCATATGTAATTGAAGTTAAACTAAAAGAAAATAGTAACATGAATGATTGTTGGTAAAAGTTTATCTTTTTAGACTCGAAAAATAATCGTTTAGATGGGAACTATTCATGACAAACATGAATAATCTAATATTTAAAAAAGCAGAAAAATCTTTAAAAAGCAGAAAGGACAGAAAGAAAGCAGAAAAATCCTCAAAAAGCAGAATTTTTCTGCTAAAAGCAGAAGAGGTGGCAACACTGCTCTTTGATAATTATTGATCAGTTTTGAACAATAAACATTTTGATTTACGATAATGACAAAAATTATTCAAGCTATGCTTCTACAAATCATAACTCAACAACACATTAATATTCTCAGAAATGAAAAATGCTAAGAAACTCGCCATGACCACCGATATCTACGCACAAAATCTTAAATCATTTGCGTTATAGATGATAAAGATATTGTCACATGATTACCAAAAAATAGAGATGTTTTTTTGGGTGATAGTTATTCGTCAGATTGATCATGTTGATCTCTATAAGTTTTAAAAGTATCCAAAAATTTAGTAACGGGTACAATAGATGAAGAAGGGTGTGGGTGTGAGTGCGGATGACGGCTGCCTGTTGGTGTATTATCACTACACCCATATCTACATCCTCAAAGTATGAGCTCTAAATCGATGGCACACTTCGGGTACCTCCCTCGTGAGTATCTTAGGAATATCATGTTTATTTCGGTTCAAATTTTTACAAACATCTTAATGATCATGAAACTTCTTTATTAATAAAATCTCAGGTCAAAATAGCCTCTTTCAATTATAAATCGGCTTCAACAACCTATGGGTCCAAATTATTTTAGGTTTTGACTAACGACATTGAGAACTATTGATGGTCGAAATATGAATATAGAGACAAAGGGACAATTCAGGTACTTTTTTCATAAGAGTTTTATAATTTACAAGGAAATTGCAACATATTCAGTTCTGCTAAGGAAACCTTGTGGGTCATGCCACTACATTTCGAATGTAATATAGTCATGGGATAATTTATTCTACTGATTCATAGCACATAAAGAATGTGTGTGTAATGATGAATATCAAGTCTGAAGAGTTTTATTGTATTCAACCAAAATAGACTCAGACTTCGAATATTTCATTTTCTGATATTAAATTTTTCAATTTCACTTAATTTGTTTTTTCCTGCTGACAACGAGAGACGTCTTTTCGAAAAAAACCTCCACTCACTTGAGAACTAGCAGTTTTTCGAAAATCTCTTGGCAAAAATCCAGGCGTAAACAGTGCTTCAATCCATTGTTGACTGACGAAAATACTTGAGCAGATTGGATCAAATGAGATTGCGTGGGAAACAAAATCTTTGTAAGGTATGCTAATTGTTGAGCAAGGACATGAGAGTGTTTCACCGTGTTTCAAACGAAGTTGATCGATTATAGATGGAGTGACGTGTGAGATGGTTACTAATCGACTTTGCGGATTCAACAAATTGGCCACGATGAGAACATAGAAAGACACTAGAAAAAAAAAGTGATTGGAAAAACTCTCAATATTCTCAGAGGCACTGTTTCTTGTCATTTGAAATTCATTTTAACAAATTTCAGTGTCCGTATCCTAGGTGAATCTCGCTTGATCAGAATCTATCAGATGGGCTCACAATCTGGCGATACAAGGTGATCTGATTCGATCGGATACATTCTGTCATATTCCAATGTCTTCTATCATTTTCCAATGATATCCACTTACCGGATTCATTAGGTTTCGATCAGATGCATGTTGTCAGAAACGACGAAACTCAACTGATATAATCTATCGTATCTGACACTAATCGAGGTATGAGAATCATCGTAAAATGTGCTGTATCAGCTGACGGTTATAGCAAGATTTTTCAGGGCATTCTACTCACCAATAGACCTCTCTGTGGACAAAATCTCAGGTCAAAATACTGTCATTCAATTTATTTATAAATACCATGCCGTAGGCTAAACGTTTAGTAAAACGCCTTTAACTCTGCACAGAAGGCCTATGGGCACTTATCTTTTTAGGATTTTTCATATTTCACTGGGATCTACCTTATGCACGGAGCCCCAACTCAAAATCGATCCGGCAGTTGTGGATGTTCCCTCGTAAGCTGCTGGGGGCTCCAAATCTGCACTTACGCCTTTGCCCCATCCTCAATCTCAAGAATGCATTATCTATAACATTTATTCTCTGAAAGTTTAATCATCAATTCATTCGCAGATACATGCTTTATCTACAAGAGCAAACAAATTGACTTTACTTACCGATGAAGAAACCAAGATATAGCCGAGTAGCATATCGTTGATGTTTAATCACATTTGCTTGATCTCTTACTTGACCATCATTATTATCATCTTCAGCTTCATCATGAACAAAAATATTGTAACTATATATTTGTTCAAAAACCTGTAAAATAAGTATCTTGGGATTCATTGCAAAGAACTAAAAAAATATGGACAAATCAAATTTGTATGTCTGATATATCCGACACCAGTCGCTTCAAGCGACTAGCTTGTGATATATTTATGTGTAAGATTCAATTAACAGTTGTTCTTTGTTGCATTCACTAGAATTAGTATATGATTGAGTTGTAACTTGAGAAGTTGAAAACTGTATGAAGAATTTCTTATCTAAAAGTTTAAATTATTTTTCAAATGAATATCAATGGGTCGATGTCAAACTAGGTACAATATGACTTAAAAATAATGAGAAAAAAGGTAGAGAAGTATTGAAACTATCGTCGAAGATCATACTGGTGCAACTCACATAATGTTTACGTTAGAGTAGATTAGAAAAAAGCACAGATATAGGTAATCAAATTTTTCGTGTTTATCTATGATTTTTGAAAATATTTCGATTAACATCAATGAACTATCAGAGACAAATATTATGTCTCAAATGGAAACTCGGTCGATATTTGATAGGTAGAAATTGAATCTAGATCACTGAGAAGAAACATTCTTTACTGTTTAAAAATGTTTGTCTAAAAATTTCTTTTGATAATTATGTAGAAAACTATGAAACTATAGAAATTCAATAAGTTTCTTCGATATACTGAATTTTCACTCAATATCAATTATCAATTCGTTTTCGACATTTAAGATTTTCTAAGAAATAGGGAGGGTAATGTTCCTAGTTCTTAGAACTCGTGTTCCTGAAAAACACGAGCACATTTTATACTACTTTATATCGATTTCAAATACTTCGAACTACCTAAGTATTCTTGTATTCCTTTTTTGATACAGGTTCTCATGGCTTGCGGTGGGTGTGGGTGTAGGTGTGGGTGTGAGTGTGGGTTACGGTACGGTCGCAGATGTGGAGGCATATGCGGGTGCGAGTCAGAAAGCGACTCGCACACACCCAACAAAATCTAACTGAATACTCAAACTTTCAGCATAACAGAACACCCAATAGCCCAACCATACTAAAATAATGCAAATCTCAGGTCTAGTCAACACTAAACACCCAATAGCCAAACTCTAACTGAATACTGGAACGCTCAGCTCAATCCAACAGTCAACAGCCAAACTCTAGCTGAGTACTGAAACCTTCAGCTCAACCTCACATCTGACAGGCAAACTCTAGATGAATACTCAAACGATCAGCTAAACGGAATAGCTGAACTCTCTTGGAAAAGTGAAAACCTCAGCGGAATTCAACACCTAAACGTAAAACTCATAGTTATAAATGGTGTGTATTTGCTACATGGTTAGTCATACGACTAAACACTAAGATAGATGCGGATATATCGTATAGTTACCTTACATTATGCTTAAATCTGCGCGGCCTTTGTTGAGTCAACATTATTTGTTTTATTTTTGTCTATATTGATACATACATTTATCTTATAGACAACGGGAAACAAGGAAATTGATGTAACACAGTTTGTGAGCAAAAGGATGATACAATGTAGTGTTATTACTTCTAATTACCTTTTTCACTTTTGTATTCTACCAACACAAATTCTTACCTAGAACTCAATATTATATACTGCTGGAGAAAGACAACGAGAGGAAAAAAGAAAATTTCATCTGCGACTGCAGAAGGTGAGTATCCAATAGAGAATTGCATTTTGATGAGTAACACATGTGAAAAATGTAGTGAGAGTCGATAGCAACGGGGAGAGGAAAAAAGATTGACAGAAACTACTAAATTCAGAGAAAAAATAATGAATATAATGTAGTAGGAAATATGTTTTATCTTGTGTATTGGCAACAGAAAAAGAAAATTAAATGGATTCTTCGAAATTTTTCTTCATCTTAATTGTTGTCATCATAAGCATAAATCTCTAATTTCGAAGGTATCATATAATCATCTTAATATCAGTCAATCTGAATGTCATATAGCCATAATAATCAAGTTCTACATCTAGAATTAGTATAGTTCATTTCATCTGTAAGTGTCGAATAAGTACAGAACATGTTTATATGAGTTTTAAACGTATAACGGAAGGATTGAAGTGACAAAGGCCGTTTTAAGTTGGGAATTTGATGATTTCGTGTAAATAAAGTTAAATAAATGACAATTTGTGTATGGTTTGATTCGTCTATTGTCAAATAATTTATTAAATTGTTAACAGAATTTATGAATGATGAGGCTTATCAATTTCTATCCTTAGTGTCATATTACACTAATGTTGTTGTAAATATCTGTTTACAAGTATAATTGTTTTTTCTGCAAATTAATTAAATAAGTCTAAACATCATAGCACTAAAAGATTACACTGTTTCTCATTTGGAATGATGATTGTGGAAATGGATTAGATATATGTATGCTTCGAAATTAATTGGATGGATAGAATATTTCTTTTTTTTCTTTTCTTCTTTTAAATAGTGTTTCTAAAAATGAGTTAAATCTACATGCTCTTTATAATTAATTGTATTGAGAAAAATGCTTTTTTTTCTCTTTTCAACTTAAAATTTATTTAGCATGTAAAATAATGTTGGTGAAAATAGATTAAATCTACGTCTTCTTCATAATTAAATATATGGATTGAAATTTAGTGTTTGTATAAGAATATCTTTAAAATCTCTGCTACAGTCGTTCGTTTTCTTTTATTTCTCGTCCTCAATGTTTTTGATATTATTTCAGATACGTTGCTAAGAAGTTTATATTTAACAATTTTTTCTAGATTGCACGATAGTTTTATGATACCTAACGAAAGTGACTGATTTTTCTGGCCGAAGAAAATAATTGAAATATAGTCAAATACACTTTTATGGTTACATTATGTGTAGTCAAAGACAATAATCATATTCTAACTGTCTGAAACTAACGCGTTTCTTTCTGTTGA